GGGGGGACCAACAGGCATTGAGGAGTCCCTGTTCCCCCGAGCACTACCAGGAGTGACAAGAAATCAGTTACAAGCTGGCAGAGGGTAGATACAGGCTAGATATCAGGAGGGAGTGGGGCCGGGGCAGTGCAGGGGATACTGTTACGCAAACCTCTTGGGGAGACATGGGTGATATGTGCCCCTAGATCTGCGCATAGGTCAAGGGCAGGCTGCTGCTGTGGGCTGGGGTGGCACCGGGCTCTTTCTAGGGGTGGGGGCAGAGGGGAGGGTTGGGTCAGGTTGTGCTCAGGGTGGGCAACAGTGGTGCTGGGAAGGGGCAATAGGGGGGCTGCAGCTGCCCCAAAATTCACTGTAGCCCCTGATAGCCCCCGCATCCAGCACCACCGCTGTGCACCCAAAGTGCAGCCTGGCCCTGCTTCTGCCGGAAAGAGCCTGGTGCCACGTCAGCCTGCAGCTTCAGACCACCGTTGCCCCATACACAGATATGAGGGTACACACCCGCCATGCCCTCCCAGTGTGTATGTAGTGGTGGGAGCCGCCCCCCAGATGAGCCACTTGCAGCTCTGGCTGTCCAGCACGTGCCGCTGCCCCAGCCCTGCTCCCTCCCTCACTGCTGGGGGCCTCAATCTGCCCTCCCCGCACCCATCACCTCTACCCCTTCCCTCACAACAGACTTACCAGCCAGACCTGGCTGTTCTCCATGCTGCCAAGCTGTGCTCCTGGCTGATACAGTTCAATTTCCTTGTATCGGTGCTGATCTGATATGGAACCAATGTATCAGCGCACCTCTATAAGATACGCTTGTTTCCCGCTCACTCATCTAGTATGTCCCTTAAAGTTATATTTTTTCATGTTTTTTGTGCTTTATTACTGAAATGTTTATGTACTGAGTCTTAACCCAAGTTTAATACTTACCTAGAAATATATAAACAAGGTTGCACAAGATGACTTTTTAAAGAGACCAACGGCTGATAACATTTGGTATGAGAAAGCGGATGCACCTTAATGACATCACGTAGTAGTCGCTCAAAACGAGTTGTGGTTCCTTCAAACTGTGATTTTCAGAAGGCAGGAATGACCTTTTACCTAGTTCTTTGAATCTCTTTGTGAATTAGTACTATGCTTCAAGAAAAAGCAATGCATGAAATTCACATTCTTGAGTTGGTTTTGTTTGCAACTGAAGTTTTTGCAGTGATATTTACATAACAGTTCCATTTGTAAAAGACTTGCGTAAAGATCATGTTTAATTTTTTGGAATTGCAGGTAAATATATAGTAAGGGTACACACTTCAGTTGAAGTATTCTTGCAGAAGCTTCCTATGTTAAAATATTTATTTGACTGGATACTGATTTCATGAACTTAAAGTACTGCTACCAAGGAAATCTCTTCCCCCACTCCCCGCAACCCCCCCCCACCTGAGATTGGTTAATGGAATTTCAGTTTTTGTTCTTTCAGTTTGATTGCTTAGACAATTTGAGTTAAATGCATTTAATCTAGGTGTCTTATTGCTCATCTTATGTCTGTTAAACAAGAAATGTTGCCTAAGTTCCCTGAAGGAAGTTTAGAGTTAAATGAGTGTAGGCTTGATTATTGCATCCTGTTACAGTTAAATCTTTGTTATCTGGCACTTAAGTAACTGGAAATTGTATTAAATGGAATTTTTGGTCGGGGGGGAGTTTGCATGTGGTGGCAGCTGCTGCCATTGCCCCCCATCTCCCTTTCACTTCACTCCATGTAATCTCAAAACCCATGTTGGGTTATTTCACATAACCGGAATTTTTATATAACTGTCAATCCCCTTACCCCGGGGATGCCGGATAATGAAGATTTTACTGTAATATATAAGTAAAGGTATTTGAGAGATCTGAAAATTATTTCAAACTATGGGTCTGTAAAACCTCCCATCTGCCAGAACACTTGTGTGTAGATCCTGGTAACAGGAAGGAAGTGTGATTGAGAATTGGCATCAAGACATAGCTTGTCCATCTGACTTTTGAAGTAAAAGGAAGTGCAATTATATTTGTGAATGAAATTGCCATAAAGGTGAGACGTTGCCTAGACAGACCCATATTGAAGTTGTTTTCACTTGTGTGTTCCTCCAAATTATGCTTTCTCATCATGAAATAGGCCCTTAGGAAGAAGATGCACCTTATTGCAGCATAGCAGTTTGGCCTCAAAAAGAGAGGGTTGTTTTGGTTTTTTTTTGTAAGTACTCAGCAAAATGAATGGCTAGTTATATGTAACTCTTACCTTTCATTCATTCAAAGTAGAACATGGGAAATTGTTCATAGGATTGGTTTGAGATAAGATATTTATTTAGAAAATGTGTTTAAATAAAATGTCTCTTTCAAACTTAGAACATTTTTTGAAATCATCTAAAAAATTCTTCGTGGTGTTAGAGCTCTCAAAGCAGTGCTGTTACAGTATTTTTGTAGAGCATTTATCTGTGTTCAAGTAACGATTTGGATTCATTTGCAGTGAATTACTGTTTAAATTACTTAACATGTCTGTCTAATCTTTTAGGGAAAAAGGATCTGATGCTTCATGGTTGCATGACCAAGAGCCACCACCTGAGGTATGTGTAGCTCATTTGATTGGTTTGTTTCAGTCTTACACGTTATACTCACAGTTTGATTTAACTAGCACCTTGCTTAAGATGCAGCCTAGTTTTTGGGTTTCTTTGTCTTCTGTTAAGAAAGTGATCTGTTTTCCTTAAGACATAGCCCTCTACCAATATGGACTGTTTATAGAACACCTTTTCCTACTTGCTTCTGGAAATAGAAATACACATTTCCTAGCATTTTAGAGCTAGATTTTTCTAGTGGTCCCAACATCCTGCCTCTAGCAGCAGAGGTAGCAGCTTATCTCAAATTTTTGATTGATGCATGGTTCCTACTGTAATTTGGCTTCTGCCATGCCTCCATTCTACGAAAAGCAATTTAGACTGTAAACTGAGAATTTAAAGAATATGAAGAGCCACCAGTTGTCAAGAAAAGCTTTTCTTGACTGGCTTTATGCAAGCTGCCAGTATATAGCTAGGTGACACATTAGGTATACTGCATGGCAGATCTTTTCTAATTTTTTTTTTAGTCAGCTTCTTTGCAAAAGAAGGGGTGGTGCATATCATCACGGACTCTTTAGAACATTGGATTCTGAAACTTATGTCAGTTTACTTTTGTAGTACAAGGGCTCCATGTCAGACAGGTCTGCAGGATCAAGTAGGCAAAATCAGCTGCTTTACTCCCATGTCATATTTACTTCAAGATCAGCTTATGAAGATTGTTGTCTCTTCACAATGTACATCTGGTTTCTTGGAAGCCAGTGCTCTTTAATTCTACTTTATTCTACTTTAATATCATTCTGTCTTATGGAGCTCCATATATGGAAAGCTCTCATCTTTTTTTCAGGCAGGCATCAGGTCAGTATACTAATATGATATTTAAATACTTGATTCTTCGCTGTCTGAAGATGTCTGAAACCACTTGCCCCTGCTGCAAGCTGCTGCCTCTTCACAATTTGTTGCTAAAAAATAAGTCCTAAGCAATATATTGGATTGTGAAAGAGAATGTATTATGAGGTTATTCATAAGACTTGCTTATTCAGTATCATACATAACTTAAAATCTCAATAAGCTTTCAAACAGCATCCAAAGTTCCAAGTAGGAAGTGGCTTGCAGGTAGTCTCCTGAATGTCAAAAATGAAAGATTAAAAAAAAATAAATAAAATTGGAGTTTCTTGCTTGAGCTGTTTGAGCATCTCTAATAGCTGAATGAATCAAAGTTTCCTAGGATGCTGCCATCAACTGCATGGATTAATTTTGGCATTGTTACTTATTCCAGTATACAACTTAGCATTAATATTCATCCCAACATTTTGATGGCTTATTTAAAAATACAATCAATGAATTGAGTCCACAAAAGATTATTTTGATCTTATTAGCCTAAACAGCTAATAAGGCTGCTTGGGCTTTTTCTATGCTGATAAAAGAGTATACTCACCTTCTGTTGTTAATTTACTCAATTTTTGTATACTAACACATCCAAAAGGCTTGCTCAGGCTGAGGTTTGCTGTCCACAGGATATAGTTCTTCATCGCTGATGTTGAAAATCTGACAAGTTTATCATGCAAAAGTGAAAAGTATTGTGAAGGTTTTCAAAAACAAATAGCAGCTGCTGGATTTCACCATGAGTTAATACATCACTGAGTTATATGAACACAGAGTTAGGCTTGTGATCTTTGGCTAAATCTCTCAAAAATGTCTGAATAGGCATTTTCAGTCGGTTGCTGTTAAAAACGATGCGGTTGGATTTTGCTCCCATGTAATCTACATTAACATTATCAGTAATGTCATACGTGGAAAAACTCAAAATTAATTAATTTCACTGCTTGAATATGGAAAATGTTAGTCTGAGTTCCTGAGCTTTAGGAAACCTTTATGAGAATACTTAGCCAAGATAATAAAGAAAATAGTATTACAACAAATCAAGTGGAGGATCACTACTTTACGTAATGGTGCCTGCCTAGATGTAAGAGTCAGTGATGATAGTATTGCTTGTCATAAGATGCTGGAGTCCATAGCTGCTGAAGTTCCTATTTTCATTCCTTCTTAGTGTGGTGACAATGTCAGGAACATGCATTGATAAGAGGGAGAAAGTCAGGAAAGGAGGATTTTGATATCGAGGAGCTAAAGCTACAAAAAGAAAACTTGTTACTGATAGTAACTGGGTGCATCTACATGTCCAGTTAATGCGACTGAATAAACTCTGGTGGAATTTGAACCAGAGTAATCTAATCCTGACATCACTGTCAACACGTGCATTTAAGTGCAGTAATTTACTCTACCATCCAATAGTATCTGTGTCTGATGGGACCGTCTGACACCAGAGTAAATTAATATACTATGCCCCAATTGCAGTGCACATGTAGATGGTGACACTTTGTACTGTGCAGTAAATTGGTCTACTGTGCAATAAAGCACATGTGTAGATGTACCCACTGAGTGTATAATAGGATGGGTTAATATAGATGAGCCCTATTTCTTGTATTCTTCCTAAGCATCTTTTACTTAACTGTGTGCAAGCAGCATGCTGGATTAGATGAAACTATAGTCTGCCTTTGTGTGGTAGTTTCTTATGTACTGTGTTCAACCATGCTTCTAAGACATTTTTTGAACCATCCTGTGAGGCCCAAAATCTTGGTTCAAGCTTATAGTGGCTGTTAGAAATTTTTTTAAGGATATATAAATAAGTGCTTCTGGTGGAGGTAGCAAATTTATAAGGGCACACGCATGCATGTAGGAATGTTTGTAATGTTGCCACTTCCATTAGTTCTGTTTATTCCTAGCCATTGGAGATCTAGAGAGACTGGTTTTACCTTGCTTAATAATAGGTCTTGGGTCATGATTTTTAGCAATTAAGAATATTTTTTACATGGGTACTTACTTGCCTGATGTTTCCACGCCTGCTCCTCCCCAAGGAAGTATTGTGGGAGTTTGGCTTCTGAAAGTCAGTATTTCAGTAGCCATATAGCATTGATTTTTGGATATAATTATATAGCCCAACCCACTTATCTTTTTGCAAGTATTGAATCAATATTCCTGCTTGTAGAAGGGACTTCTTTGCCATCCTCCACAGCTTTGAAAAACCTTGGGGGGATGGGAGAGAAATTCAGTGGGATCATGCCAGCTTGCTTTCTCCCAGCAATGAAAGAGAGCTGTATGTCCATAGCAACTTTTTTTTTTTTTTAATTGGCCGCCTGTGGATGCAATTCTTCCCAAGTCTAGAATGACTTCACTGGGTTTATGGACCAGACTTTCATGAATGTTAAATTTTATGCAAGTTTCCTGAAGTCAGACCTAGGGCCCGTCTACACATGCAGGTAAAGACTGTGTGACCTGATCAACACAATCATGCCTCCTGCCATGCCACACGTGCATGGCAGGAGGCATGATTATGGGATCACACATTAGATCCTATCACGCCTTGTTTGCTGGTTGAGGAGGGTTCTGGGCTTTCCCTGCACTAGCAAGAAGCAAGCTGGTGCCCCATCCACCACTGTGACTGGGAGATGAGCTGCTGTTATCTCCTAGCCCTGGGAATGCTTGAAGTCCCTGGGGCTGGGAGACCACAGCTACTGACTTCTCCCAGTGCTGGAGGCGTGTGAAGTCCTTGAGGTTGGGAGACCATAGCAAAGCCCCTTCCTTTAAGAACTGAAAAAGCAACATCAAGGGTGATAGAATGTTTAGTTGCTTCCCATGGCACTGCTGGCTCCCAGGCAATGCAGGTTACTGGGTTGGTTCTCTTTTTGGATAGGTCTTCTGCCAGGAAGCACACTCCCACCCACCTGTTCTCTGTAAATGCCAGTCTGTGAATGAACCCAGCATGCTTGAACCATAAGCTCACTGGCTCATCATGGGACTTGCATGATGGCATCTTGGCTATTCACTTTTTATAGCAACAAATGAAATAAACATCCTCTGCAATGCTAGGAGGGAGCAGCAACTCTTCCAGAATCCATCCTTTCATAGCATCAAATGAAAATCTCTAAGCCACAGGAGGTCCTTCTTAAACTAGTAGGTCTCAAGAAATTTTCTATTCCACTTGCTTAATGTAAGGATTTTAAAGAGCTATCATCTGAGAGGAATCACTGAAAGGTTTCCTCATAGATAAATGCTAGGTGATACTCCTTATGGTTCATTTATTATTATCATGTGGAATTATAAAGTAAACTATTTATTAACAAAGGCTTTTAAGAGAAATATAAGCCCATTTTTCTACAATTGTTAATATAATTTTTTAGCATAGCAGCAAAATGATTTGTTGTTCTTTTTGGAGTCTAAGGCATTGAATCAATTCTCCAAGGACTCATTATACTACAAGACTTTGACTTTCTTCTTATTAATATTGATGTAAATTAATGTTGTTAGCCACAATTCAAAATATAGCAGATCCAAAGTTAATTGGAGGAAAACTGATGCTGTAGTATTTAGTGCACTGTAGAAATGGAAAATATTTTTTAAAAATGAATGTTATATATTTTTTTTAAGAGAGGGATTCTTCCTATTACTCAGCCTTTAGTGATAGATAGTACTTCTTAAAACCAGAGCTGCCAGTGTTAAACTTTTTACAGAATGTATTTATCTGTTGTGCATAATGAGTTAAGCAAGAGATATCAAATTAAATGCAGTGGTATTTTCTTTCTTTTTTGTGTTGCTTATTGTTTCTTAACATTTCTTTTTTATTACTTTTCAAAGCTGGATATACAAAATGCATAACAGTCACTTTTTCTCTTTTTGCCACTAATCAGTTGAAAAATATACATTTTCCTTATGTATATAATATGGTACATATGTTTAATTTGGTTCAATGGGTTAGATGTAATGGAGAGAAAAAATTAATCTTGCTTCCTCAATCATGATGAAAGGATTTTTGGAATGCGCTGGCCAAATTGCAATTTCTGGAAGGCTAATTCTGTTGTGTACTACTAGGTGATCTTTTTTGCATTCAATTCATTAATTCTTAACGAGCAAAAAATATATTTTAAGCAACATTCAAGTGAATCATAATTTAAAGTAAGAGTACAAAGGTTGTGAGTCGAGCACTCAAACTAGTAAATGCTAGAATAGAACTAAAATGCCCATGTAATCATAATTTTATTCCATTGCACACCTGCATAATGATGCATTATTTAATCACTTGAGCATACACTTGCCTGCAGGACCTGTAAAGTATCTTAAAAGGCTGATTCTTGAACATAAAACAAGTTTTTGATAAGTACAATCTGTCTGTTCACTTGTTAGGCCTTAGATTTCAGTGATGATGAAAAAGAGAGAGAAGCAAAACAGAAGAAAAAGAAACCTCAGAATCAAGGAAGAAAGAAGTCCAGATCTGATATGAATGAATCAAGTGAGTAACTGTTATAGGAACAATTAACAATAGTTCCCAAAACTAAATAGGAATTGCATAATGGTGATCACTTGTTAAATCTATCTTAATACAACATTTGAGTCTTTGTACATTTCATCAGTACTTTTTAAAATGATAATTAGAAATGCCTGAGGGTACTTTTCTTAATCTTGGACTAATTAATTGAGAAAGGGAAGGTTGCTTATCTGTAATTAAAAATAAGTACACTAATTAGTTTTATGGGGAGCTTTAATTATTTTGCTAAATGAACATTTATCTCTGTAACTGGTTAACTTTAGTGCCAGCAGTGAGTAAGCTACATATTCTAAATCATCCATTTACCTATCATCCAATACTTCCCTTGGTCTAATGGCCTTCTTTGGAATGTAGTTCATTTATTTGTTCTGTCCCTGACTGAATGATAAAGGCAGCTGTCTCTCTTTCTTAAAAAAGAGGATTGTTAATAGCCTAGCTTAGACAACACACGTCAAAATCTGCATGTTCCTCATAGAGTCCCATGGCTCAATGCAGAGTCATTGAAAACAGGGACAACCTGACCAAAGTCTTCATGAATGGAACACATTTTCTTAGATTGTGATGTTTCAATTGAGGACTGATAGGTTTTTAAATTGTATTTGGCAAGTGAACCTACAGAATATTACTTTGTTTTTTGTGTAGTGGTTCTTTTCTATTCTAGTTCATGTAGATTTGTTTATAAATCCTACAAATATATTGATTATTCCAGGAAAAGTATCTGCTTTTCTTCTGTTTTATAACTAATTATAGAAACTGAGTTGATTAGGATTTTGGAATAACTGACGCACGCACTTCTGTATTGGACAATTAATTTTGATCATAGAAATTCTCCAAACCTTACTGTAACTGTCAAAAATATTGGTTACATTTATCCTTAATACACTGGTATGGTACTTGCCTCAAATTTGAAAGTTTTTGATCATTTTTGAGACAAAGCTATGCATGCATACTCTCAGTAAATTACAATAATGAATCGCTGGCATGCAAATGCAAGTATTTTGCATAAGTATTTGATTAAAAATTGAAAATGACTGGGTGATTATATGGAAAATACAGTGGAATCTGTCTAGGATGGGATCACACTGGACCAGAAAAAGGTTTTGGTTTAAACAGGTTTCCATCTTATAAGGGAAGCAGAGGTGTCTGTATCCCATGGCCCCCTGATAGCTCATCCAGGAGCAAGCTGTCAGTGACCCTGCTCCTTTCCTGGTACCCACCAATTGGCTAATCAGTGGGACTGGGCAGGGGTTGCCTCTGTTCTTAACCGGGGGCTGCCCCCTCCACTGTCCCACAATCCCAGTCTGCTGAGGGTGGTGCAGGGGGTCTGTCGGAATGGCATGGCCAGCAGAGTTTCAGGCATGCAGAACACCTGGGGATAGCCTTAGTTGGATAGCAAGGATGGAGGGGTTGCCTGCAAGTGATGGTGGGGTGTGGGGTCTTTGTTCCTTGATCAGCTTCATCACCCTTGCCTCTGTCCAAACAGCTGCAAGCAACTTGCAGGCTCATCTTTTTCTTGTTGCTGCTTGGAGCAGCTTGAGGACAGGGCAGCTTGCAGATTGCCTTGTTTGTACTGCCACCCGGAGGAAATGAGGGTAGGTCTGCTGTGTTGTCACCAGGTGCACCCAGGTTGGAAAATGGGTGCTTCCCAGTAGGGCTGTGCGAAATATCGCCACCAGTTCTGTTTCGACCTGTTTTGAGGTTGAAACAGCAAAATCGAAATGAAACAGATATGGTCGAAACAGCCTTGAAACAAAACAAGGCAAGTCGAAACATTTCGCCGTTTCAGTGCTGTTTCAACGTTTCACCAATAAGTTATAATGGGAAAGGTTGAAACAGCCTATAACTTTGTCATTTCTGGCCAGATTTTGATAAAACTTGCAGAAATGGTAGCCCCTTCTGAGGGCATAAAGTGTGCCAAGTTTCAAGAAGATAGGTGCAGGGGGTTTGGAGAAACTGCACCCCAGTCTTGAGAGCCAGATTTGTGTCGTGTATATATTAAGCCACAGCCGGGTTAAAACTACAGGAGTGCTAGCCCCTCCTGAGGCCACAAATCCTGCAACATTTCAAGGAGATAGGTGCAGGGGGTTTGGAGAAACAGCTTCCCAAAATCCTGAAAACAAAACTTATGTCATGTGTATGTGTTAAGCTACAGTGGGGTCAAAACTGCAGGCATGCTAGCCCCTGCTGAGGTCACAAAGCCTGCCAAGTTTCAAGGAGATAGGTGCAGAGGTTTGGGGAAACTGTACCTCAAGCTGCAGATGAGCAAAACTTGTGACATGGGTGACACTGTTTGTGTTAAGGTGCAGCAGGGTGAAAGCTGCTGGCCTGCTAGCCCCTGCTGAGGCCACAAAAGGCACCCTTGAGGAAAACTAGGAGTAATGGTCACAAACTCCTGGAAGATCGTTTCAGGCTCAGCATCAGGAAAAACTGCTTCACAGCTAGGGTGTCCAGACTGTAACCATTACTTGTAGTTTTCCCCAAGGGTGCCCTGTTCACCAAGTCCTGATGTACGCTTCCGATGTAGTGGCAAGCTGCTGCCAGGTCCCCTCTCGGCCTTCTCTTTTTCAGGCTGAGGAGTCCCGGATCACTCAGTCTTTCCTTGTATGGCTTGCCGTGCAAGTCTCTGATCGTATGAGTGGCCCTTCTTTGGACTCTCTCAAGCTTTACCATGTCCTTGTTGAGGTGTGGAGCCCAGAACTGGACACAGTACTCCAGCTCTACCTGTCTTTTTGAAACTTGGCATGAGTCATGCCCTCAGGAGGGGCTACCATTCCTGCAAGTTTCATCCAAATCTGGCCAGAAACAGCAACTTTATAGCCTGTTTTGACTAGTCCCATTATATCCTATGGGCGAAATGTTGAAATGGGGTCGAAACAGCAAAACGTTTTGATGGAATGAAATGGAACAGCGGTTTCAACTCGAAACAAAAATTGAAACAAAACACTGTTCTGTCTAAATGCTGGTCAAAACGGAAAGCTTCCGTTTTGCACAGCCCTACTTCCCAGTCCTCGGGTTGTCAGAAGTCCCTTTGCAATGCCCAGTGCATGAGCAGTCTGGGACTAGAAAGCAGCTTCTCAGGCTGTTCGTGTTCCTGGAAGTTTAAAGGGTGGTGGGCAGGCAGCCCAGGACCAGGGCTGTACGCCAGACGTCTGGGGGTAGTAGATTTCCCGCATAGGATATTACAGGTTCCCTCCTAGAAGGATTTCAAAGCTGAAAGCCTGCCAAAAAACCTTTCTGCTTCCATGTTAGGTAAGTTTCTAGCTCATACAGATTAAATGCAGTTAATTTGCAATAAGGTGTGCCAGGACCATAGGCATCTTCTGGTTTTTACAGATTCCATCTCCATGTCACTGTTATGTATTTTTGTTTACCCCCAGTATGATTCATTTAAGAATTTAGCATGATGCAAAATATTTTTGCACTGAATTGTAGGGTACAAAGTGGCAGTGCAGTTCATACAAGGATTGCATATGTGTTCATTACTAAACAGTAGATGCTGCAAAAAACAGATTACCTGGAAGTTTAATTTTGAGATTCTTGAGCTTGATTGTCCAGACATCCTGATTCATTTTCAGTAGAATAAATTAACTTTTTATTATTTAAAGCTTAACTGATCATCTATGATGAGTCAAGACATACATCTTTAAAACCTCAGAGCTTTTCTCTTTATTTTTATTTTTATTTTTTTTGTAACAAAACTATGATCTCAAAACTTCACTGGTGCTTACTTGGAAGCAGTCATTTTAAAGTAAATATAGTAAAACCATTGGCTTCTCCTGGGATGAGAAGTGTAAATTTTTCATTGTTAAACTCAAGAGTCTTATATTGAGCACAAAAGCTCTTGGCTTCTTAATTTACCAAAATAAGTGTCTGAAATTGAACAAACAATGTGATTACATTTCAGGCTATTTCTTAATTTCCTCTTTTTAAAGAAAATCTGGAATACGTCAGTTCATAAACATCAAGCATATTGTATCCCTACATTTTAAGATTTTTTAAGTGTGTGTGTGTGTGTGAGATCAGGATTGGAGCAAGAGGAGAGGGGCAGGGGGGACCTATCTTGGAAAGATTTTAAAGACTAAGCTGTGTTGGAAATAAGGTAATCTTGTGGGTATTTTTAAGGTGAGAAAAATGGAGTTCAGTGTCCTCCTGCGGAGCAGCCTACCTCAAGTTATTCAAGATTATATTGTGGCAGAGAATTCTCACGAGGGAGAGGTCCTCGTTTGTTTCATCCTCCACACTTCTTGAGACCACAACTGAGACCTCCACAAGTGAGACCCCCACAGCTGTATTCTCCAGATCACAGGATGCATCAGAAATCTGCCGTGTGTCCCCAGGCAACTGCACAAGACATGATTCAGCACTATCCCTTTCTTCTTCCGCCTCCCCCGCCGC